ATATATATATATATATATATATATATATATATATCTCAAGTAATCTATGAAGTATTTTAGGTACCCTAACTTCAGCTTGGGGGAAGGAGGGAAGGGTCTGTTCTAAAGGTAAATGAGGAACTGGTGTTATACAGAAAAGTTAACATACTCTTCAGTTCTCATGCTACACTCACAATATAGATACTATGCAGCACACAGCACTTGGACAATCTTTTCCTCCTTTCTTTAAAAAGTAATAAAATATTTCCTTAAATCAGTAGCTGCCGAAGTATAATTTTTTTCTCTTCCTTTTGAGGCTCAGGTTTCTTTCATTTCAAAACATTCTTGAAGACTTAAGTTCTTCCTTTAAGAAAGATTTAATTATTTAACTCAGAAAGAAGGGGCAAAAAGTCAGAAGGTGAAACCTGAGACAGTCCTATTAGTCTTACATAACTTAAAGTTGGAACTGATTCAGTAGCTCAGCTAAAAACCTGAGGTTTAGGCACAAAGATGAGATCTTTAGTATACTCTCCACAAACATAAATAGTTTTTAAAAATGGAAATGATCTTTTTTCTTCATTTCTTAAAATAAAAGCACATACATGGATAGTAAATTACGATACTAATATAAAAATGCTAAAATGGTTACGCTTAAAATGAAAAGCACTGAATTCACCCTATCACATTTAAGTAACACTATAGTTGACAGACTAGGGCGTAATTTCAGAAAGTAAGTTCACTTCCTAACACTAACTTTTGAATAACACCTCTGTAAGTATGCAATAAGTACTTAATAAGTGCTGCAGGGAACATCAAAAAGTGATTTTCAAACGCAATATATGTATGTTCATCCAACTTGTAAAAAAAAACTCTCAAAATATATAAAGTACAGTTCTCATGCTTATTAAATTAGCTTTGATTATTGCAAATGATTCCTTCAAGAGCAAGTATGTAGCAAACCTTTCAAAAATCTTAGGTTTACACCAGCAATTGTCCTTACTTAGAAAGGTCCTGATCTGAACTCAACTAAAGCTGTGTGTTAACTACATTTCACCACAGACACTTGAGCCCGGGGGTTATAATGGCCACGGATTCCCCGAATTGCTTTGAGAACTGCTGCTTGCTTAATAAAGGGCTGAACTCTGAATTCACCTTTCTCAACAGACTGAAAGCAAGACGCCAAGTTTCACAATCTAGTTTGGGATTTCTCTGGGAATGACCACGTTATCAAGATGCCATAGCCCTCCTGAGGCTTTTAATTACAATACCTTCTCTGTTTTCCATTCAACCACCTCAATCAAATTTCCACTAGAACTAGACACACAAACAGTTGATTCCTGGCTTTGCGCAAAGCCTCCTGTGGATGCAAAGCCTGGGATCCTACATACGTCAGGCCTCTCAGGGAGGGCAAAGCGGGGGGTGGGGAAGTTTGTTAAACAATGCCGTTGGACAATGTGGTGGTGACATTACCTTGCCCGTCTTGTGATCAAACCAGACGAGAGCGTGGTTCCTTGACAGCACTTTGCAATCAAAAGTGGCATTATTCTGCGCTGGTCGACAGCGGGCCACTGAGCGGCCGATTTTGATGGGCTCGTCCAGGTAGACATGACGCTCCTGAAACGGGTGCGAGTTCGGGCGGCAAGTGAAGATGGCCAAGGCTGACGGCATCGAGGATAGGCTGGGGGTGTCTCTCCTACCAGGGACAAAGAGGAGTTCCTCCGGATCCGGACTGCCCTTCACAAGCCTATACCCCTATCCCACCCAAAATTTTAAATTAAAACAAACTGCACATTGTCTACGCATAACCAGTGAACATCAACAACTCTTCACTTGGGTGGGAAGACAAGCCAGCGCAAGCCCCATCACCTCCTTCAAAACCCAGCAGTGCCCTGATCACAAAAAGTCCCCAACTGGCAGCTTTCAGTCCATCTTCCTCTCTGGGAAGAAACGGCTCAAACATCGGGCAGCTTCGGCCAAGAAAACTCCTGGAACACAGTTTGGGGACTGGAGGTATCCAAGCAGATGAGTCACACGCCAATTCTTGTGTTTGGTTTGAGATCGCGGCCGCTTTTCCCCCTCGGTGGCGGAAACGCTGCAGCACTGCAGCATGAAGGAAGGGTCGGTTCGGGGCGGCCAGGAAAGTAAGTCCTTTTGGGCCGAAGGAAGGTGTGGCCGGGCACCTCCGGGCAACCACCGCCCGTCCTCGCCCGGAGTGGAGGGCGAGAGGTGACGAAGGCGGAGGGGCTCTAGACGGCCGGTGGGACAGTCTGCATCGCCCCTGCTGCGCGGAGGCCGCCCCGGGAAGGGGGACGCGGTCCCCGGCGTGGCGAGGCGGCAGTGCCTGGGGTCCTCAGCGCGAGGTGTGGGGGCCGGCGGGGCGCGAGCAGTGGCCAAGTCCGGACTCCCGGGCACCTGGCGGGCGTCCCCGCGACCAGGGCGGGGACCCGGCTCCGCAGGCCGGTGCGGACCGAGCGAGGCGCGACACCGGGAGGCTCGGGTTCTCAGGCGGCAGGAAGTTGGTCCCCGGACGCCTGGGCTCCTGGTCGCCGCTCAGCACATGGGCCGCCTCCCCTCAGGGTCGCCCCCGCGAGGGTCGCATCTCAGGGACAGCAGCCGCAGCTCCCGGCGGACGAGAAGGTGGGGGAGGGAGACTGGCCCGGAGGTTGGGGAGAGGCCTGGAGGCCCCGGGCTGGGTCCGCCGCAGCCTCCACCGATCACGGCCGATGGAGCAAGCTCAAGCTGCGCCCGGCGAGGCAGGAAACTTTCCGACCTGGTGGGGAAAATATAAAACAAACGGCCGTCAGGCGCCTCAGCCCTCGCCCCCTCCAGCCAGACCCCCGCCAGCTCCCACCGCTAGGCACGATCTCCGCCGACCTCTCCACAAGCGGGCTGCGAGGATTTGGAGCCAGGACGCCACGACGGGTCCTACCTCCCTAGCCGCCACCGCCGCCTCAGCTTACCTTGCCAGCGCCGGCCGCCATAGTGACTCTGACTGAAACCTACCGGGTACACCGCCACGGGAACGCGCACCCTTCAAGGGCCCTCCTACCCCCTCTCCCGCGCCGTAGTCCAGGAATGTCACGTGAACGACGCCACGGAAGCCGTGTTGGTCGAGGGCAGAAAAACGGGCAAGCTAATTTCTAACGAGCCTCCCGGCGCCATCTTATTTAAGGGCTGGAAGCTTCAAACCTCGGGACGGCCACAACGACCATTTTGGCTAAGGGCAAGAACAATTTGTGCGGTAGAAGGTTTTCGAAACAAACCGTGCCACCTTCTTATTTTATCTACCTGGCAAGGAGATGCCAACTTCTGCTAAATTTTATTCGCTTTAATCCTCAATGAAAATTCTAGTGAGCAAAAAAACAGAGCCAGCCAAAGGAGATGTTCATAAGCAGCCATCTTAGCTGTGGGCAACAGAGTCGCCCGCAGCCACCTTAAGTGTGAGCAGCCAAATTCCCTCAAGTCTTAGGATGTGCGCCTAACAGAAGGACCATCCTCCCCTCTGCTAAATTCTCTGTGTTTTCTAACCGGAAAAAAAACTCTTGGTTCCCACATTACGCTTCGAATGACAGCCCTTCTCACTGGACCTGGTATGTGCCCCAGGGCTCCTACGCGGATTCTTCCACAGAAGGAGCGTTCAGAAAGTTTAAAATCACGTTGCTTCCAAAGAGAGAGTGAACAATTTCCAAAATGAAGAAAGGGGGTATTGCCCCCACTTACAATATCAAGATGAGGAGTCATTGGTCTAAAGAAGAAGGACTGCAAAGGCTAAATGAAAACGTCAAGAAAAGATAGGAGTCTTACTCATTTAGAGTCAAAGGTGACTTCATTCTTCAGATTCCTGCGACAACAGGCTCCACCACTGTGTGACCTTAAGCAAGTTTCTAAACTTCTTCAAGCCTCTTTTTTCTCATCGATGACATGGAGATAATAGCTAATTCACTTGTTGTGGTGAGACTTCGAAGTGTTAATCCATGTTGTTCAATAAAGAGTAGCAATTATGCATTTCAATACTTATATATAGACAGTTTGGCCCCCTAGGTTTTTGATGGGCCCTGGGAACCCACAGGTGAACCAAACTTTAATTCCAGCCTTCTGAGAGCATAACGGTATGGTGGGTTAGGGATGGGGGTAGGGAGTGACAAACATAAAATTGATGTAATCAGGGCTAAGATAGAGGCAGGCACTAGCTGCTAAAGGGGTCAGGGTTGGTCAGGGTTGGTCTGGGCGACGTAACTGAATTGAATGAAGGAAGATAGGAAAACCACAATAAATATGGTATTCGCTGAATGGTTTCATAAATTTCCACGAACACGGACAGCAAGGAAAGAAAGGAGGCTACTTGAAGCAGTGCACCAATGTGCAGGCACGTAATGAGATTAAACAAGTATTTGGTCCATGAATTAAGATTACAGACTGTTGTTATTAGAGAATAAAGTAGGAAGGGCACAAAATGAGTCTGGAAAGAATAGGCATTATATTATAAAGACGTCATATTCGTTTTTCAGGCTCTTCATCAATTCAACAAATAAGTGTCAAGCTACTACTGTGTTCCAGGTATGCTGTTGTGGAGAAAAACAAGGGTATGTTGGAAAGCTTTCTTATGAGAGGATGAAAAGTTTTCACTTCTGGTAATTTTTAGGCTGTTATGGAATAAGGTAAGATAGGACCAGATCCCTAGTGAGTTTTTTGCATGAATAGCAAGTCATTTATGCATTCTTTCATGCATTCATTCTATAAATATTTAATTGAATGTCCACTGCAAAATAGATATTTTGAAAGGCCCTGGAAATACAATAATGAAGAAACAAAAAGACTCCCTCAAGTTGCTCAATTTAAATGATGACACAGTAAGATCCTTGCTGTAATGGAGTATGGTCAAGAGTAATGGAATCTTGGCAGAGTAGTTTAAACTGAAACTTGAAAGGAGTAGGCTAGCTAGTCTGATGCTACTGGGATAAAGAAATTTTAAGCCAAGAAACAATCACCAACAAAGGTCCAGAGACTTGAGAGAACAGGACTTTAAGGGAATTCTAAGGAGGTTTGTATCACCAGCACGTAAGGGATAAGGGAAGGCAGGAGGAGGAAGAGTGACAGAAGTGTGGTTTCAGTTGCTGAAGGACTTGTAGGCAATGCATCAGACTTCAGAACATTTCCATCTTCCCCTTAGAAAGTCAAAGAGAAGTAATGAAAGTTAAAGTGTTGGAATCAGACATGGCATACTTTTACCAGCACCATAAATGGTAAATTATTTAGCTTCTCTAAATGTTAGCTTCCTCATTTGAAAAAAAGTAGGTATCTATTGCACTTGACTAGTCTTTAAAAAAAAAAAAGGAAAAGGAAAAAAGTAGACAATACAGAGCCTTCTTAGGATTAAATAAAATAATGGAATTCAAAATTCCAACCATGATGCCTGGGAAATAGTAGATACTCAGAGAATGTTAATATTTATCATTATTGCTATAGAAAAAATTCCCCCAGCCTTCCACATATAGTAAGGAACAACTTGTTTTATCTCTAATTTGTATACAGAGAAACTTAATCGTATGTATGGAAACAAAAAAGTCTGCTGATACTCAGTTCCACTATAGTATCTCTTAAAATTAATGTTAAGCAGAATGGACTTTCTTCTGCAAGAAAAGCTGGGACTGTTATACCATGTCAGGATAAAGAATCCTACCAAGCTACACAGGGTGCTAGAAATGCCAAAATGGCATTGAAGGCGTTCTTCACCCACTGGTATTTAGCAGGCACAGAAAAGGCTTAAATTAAGAAATCTCATACATGAGATACTTTAAATTCTAAGTCATGTGGGTGTTCCTCTCTACGATTCTGTATCCACACAAAATTTTTATTAAATAAAAAGCATGTCATGTTTTGAGAAATTGGGAATGGAAATGTTTCCTGATTTTGTAGCTCTCTCCCTTTTTAAGTTTTTGCCTTTTTATAGTCTGATGAGTATTGCCACTGCTATGATCCAAGCCACTTTTCAATCTTACAAAAGCAAAGAGAGAATTGTAAAATTATTATCCTAGTACCATCAAAGATGAGCAATTATTAGCATTTCTGATGTGTAGGAGACAATTCTGTAAACTCAACTACTATGCAACCCTCTCTAATTGATAATGATCTTATTGGACTTTAACCAATGACATACACATGGGATGTAATAAATTATAGAACACTTGCGTAACTGTTTCAGCAGAGTATCTGTATTGCAAATATAGGTAAGCAAACCAATTAAAAGAAAGCTGGGAGTACCCAAAGTCCAAAATTGAGGTATATATAGTATTTTTAATAGCATACACTGGCTTATTACAACTGAAGTTAGATCCTCTTCCCACTAAGGAAAGCTCTCTTCATCAGGGAGATTCTGATGAGTGGAAATACCCTGTCATTTCCCAGGTGCCCAGGGTGGAGTGGCCCAGACATTCCAGAGGCACTGCTCATCTGTTTTTGACTTCCTGGTTATTCAGGAAATAAAAGAAAAATAACTACCTGAAGACAAATGAAGACATTTAAACTCATTTAGCAATCTTTTTCTGTGAATATAAAAAGAGGTAACCAGAATATTATAACTCCGGAAAGGATCATACACAATAAATCCAGCTTCCTCCTTTTACAGGCAAGGAAATTGAGGCTCAGAGAAGGAACCTTACTGATTGTATATTTTCCATGTGGTTAGCATTTTCGTCATGACATCTCTGTGTGTTAAGTTTTTTATTTTGTTTTGTTTTGAGACAAGAGTCTTGCTGTATCACCCAGGCTGGAATGCAATGGTGTGATCTCAGCTCACTGCAACCTCCACCTCCCTGGGTTCAAGGGATTCTCCTGCTTCAGCCTCCCAAGCAGCTGGGACTACAGGCACCTGCCACCATGCCCAGCTAATTCTTGTATTTTTAGTAGAAACGAGGTTTCACCATATTGGCCAGGCTGGTCTCGAACTTCAGACTTTGTGATCCACCCACCTTGGCCTCCCAAAGTGCTGGGATTACAGGCGTGAGCCACCATGCCCGGCCGTGTGTTAACTATTAAGCTTATTTTACAGTTAAGGAAACTAAGGACCAGGCACAAATATTAAGAAAAAGATTAAGAATCTTAATCTTTGAGTGACTGAACATAAGTCACTATGCTAGATCCAAAGTACATGCCGGGTTTTTTCTTTCTAAAAATTATCTTTATTTATTTATTTATTTGTTTGTTTTTGACAGGATCTTGCTCTGTCACCCAGGCTGGAGTGCAATAATACAATCATAGCTCACTGTAGCTTCATCCTCCCGGGCCCAAGCAATCCTTCCCATCTCAGCCTCCTGAATAGCTGGGTCCACAGGCATGTGCCACTGCCATACCCAGCTAATTTATTTATTTTTACATTATTATTATTATTATTTGGTATACCTCGGATCTCCTGTGTTGCTTAGGCTGGTCTTGAACTCCTGGGCTCAAGTGATCCTCCTGCCCAGCCTCCCATAGTGCTGGGATTACAGGCATGAGCCACCATGCCAGCCCCAATTGATTTTTTTTGATTGATAAAAGACATACATGCTCATTGCATATATTCAGGTAAGAAGAAATAAGGAAAGTAAAAGTCCTCTCTAGCCCCATCACAAATACCTAGTCTAGTGCTACTGTTAACAATTGGTTAGCTGTAGTCTTCCAGATGCTACTCTAAGCCACATGAGGCATGCCCTTTTAAAAATACCACATTTATTAAAAATGGGAAAGTCAAGACTAAGGGTCTTATTCTTAAAAGTGATAAATAATTTATATCAATCGCAAAAGGCCGTATTGGGCCAGTGGGAAGCGGAAGGGACGAAATTATGATTATTTTTTGTCACTCTTGTATAAGTCCCCTTTCAGTTACTGGAACTATCCCCTTGTTTTTTAATAACTAAATTAAGAATGTTACTTGGAATGTAGCAAATGCTTAAGAGTAAAAGGGTTGGGTCAGAAAGCCCCATGAGGCATTTTCTTTCTGAATTTTTATTGGTGTATCTGGATTTGTTTCCACATAACTTAGTTACCAAGTAAAATAGCAAGTGAAGTAAAAGTTACCAAGTAAAATATCAAGACTCTA